GTCAGATGTATTGGGTATCATCAACATAGTCATACGATTAGTCATCCATTCATCCGTCACATTATATCCAAACATTATACAGCAAACCAATGTCCCTCTGCTACACTTATAGCTTGTCGAATCTATAGCCATATGACATAAGCACAATTCAGTACTTGCAAGCATTATCTATTCTTTAGCCTCTATGTAATTTGAATTGTATTTTGGTGACTAAGGTATGAAATAGTGTGTACATAATGTGTGTATGTATAAAAATGGGAGATAATTTTGCTCACTTTGTGTTTCAACAGATGATTTTGATATCAATGATGTACCATTAAACCCTTTCAACTGTATTTGTGCTTTACGGATTTTAAATTGAATTAAACTCGATTGACAAACACGAATCTATGTAGAGAAGAAAAAAATATCAACAACCTAAGAACCAATGGCATAACATTTCCTGTGAATGACTGTCAAACAACATACACTATAAATAGGAAACAACTAGCTAGAAAATGATCTTGTTGTTAGTTTTTTTAGCAGGAATAAATAGTTGGAAAAAAGATGGTCAGTATTAATCCGCCATTGCTACCACACAATTATAGTAGTTACATAACTATCAGTGTACATTACACAGCACTATGTTATAGTTGAGTTCTTATACAAAATATTAGCGATTTCTTTCCTACCTGCCTATTTCTTGACATCTTTCCTTCTTTGTTCTTTCTTTTTGATGTAATTCCATTATATTTGTCAGGTGTCTTTTCAGCACAATTTGTTCTTGATTTAGTGGCTTTGCCTGTATTCGAGCTTTGTCCTGTTGTTCTAGATTGATCTTTAATGCTCCGTCTTTTATGCTGCATAGCATACCCTTTCTGAATGTTAGTCCAACAACGTGTTACGGCAAACTCTCCGGATACATCGAATTCATTATTACTCTGTCTGCAAAATAGGAGCTGTTCCTGTGTAATCACACCAGTTGTGGCATTCCTTTGCAGCTCAAGCACCTTTTCTTGATTCTGAAAAACCTTAGTGTATAACTTGTCAATTTTGTTCCATGTAATACCTTTTGGATGACGCCGAAATAGTATAATCAGTTCTTCTCTGAGGTTTTCAATATCTTTATCATTTACACCAGGAATTCTACTCAAACGATACGTGTCTTTCAATTTCACCCAAATTACTTTACTGGTTTTACGATATCTAGTTTGTTCAAAGATGGTGTCATCTAGGTTATTTGCGAATGTCTCTTGGTTGCCCAAGCCATACCTCTTCAGGTTTAAACCAGTCTTGAACATTCTACTGTATGCAGTACAAATATAACGTGGAGGCAATCCAAATTTGAATACCGAGAACAGCTGAATCAGTTGACAATTCAATGACTCTCTTTCTGTAGCTCTGAGTAGGTGGCTTTGTTTGTTTTCCTGAGTTCTGCTCATAATAGATTCCATACTATTTGCTTTAGCTGT